ATTAAATATAAATAATTTTTAAGAGCTAAACTAATAAATATTAAAATACATAATATAAGATAAATTCACTAAAACATTATAATAAGGGAAAACTAAATTTTAAACTAAATTCACTACAAAATAAAACTTGAATATTATAGAAAGTCTCAAATCAAATCCATAACAAAGATTAATGTCAAATAAATAAAGCAACATTACTAATTCATTTGTTTTGGCCTAAATGAGGAGCATTTTCATCAAAATAAGCATTTACACAAATATATAAAATTATTAAAAAAAACCTCTAAATCCAAGTATGATAAATAAAAATTTATTTAAATTAAAGACGCTGCATTAAAGTTTAAAATCATGGCATAACAAATTAAGCATAACAAATTAAAAAAAAATAAAATCAAGCATCAAATATTGATATTCATAGTTTCATACATAATTTTTCTAAATCTTACACCAATACTAATTAATAAAGAATTAATTTCTATTAACAATGAATTAATTTCTATTAACAATTAATAAACTTGTAAAACATGTGAATTTGAGAATGAATTTCAAGGTAAAAGCTAAAAATCTCACTTAAATCAAATGCCCAAGAGGAGAGAATGAGTCACGGAGTCACGGGCTGCCTCTGTTGGGATGATCTGTTTCCTTTGCTACTTCTTTTTGGTTTGGTGAAGGAGAGGAAGATGAGTGGTGGCGGTGTGAGCAAAATCAGGTGGCGATGTGAGCAAAATCAGGGACGATCTATTATGCTTTGCTGCTTTTGTTTGGGCTGGTAAAGGAGTGGAAGATTAGTGGCAGAGGCGTGAGGCTGTGAGCTTTGTCAGGAAGCTGCCCACGAAGGAAAGGTGCTGAGCTGCTGGTGGGGATGTAGGGAGATTAGGATACTCTGTTGCTGATGTTCAGTTTAGCAAAATGGATGAGGCTGATGGAGAACTGGTGAGTGAGATGCCGACGGAAGTGGAGCAAGAAGATTAAGTGCTTTGCTGCTTCTGTTCGACGGTGGAGATGCCGACGGACTCACGGAGATGGAGCAGGGATCAGGGAGAGGGATGCCGATGGCTCGATTGCAGTTCTGCACTTCTGCTTCTGTTCCTGCATTCTAATTTTGCTTTTCCCATGTTGTTTTTACATAATAGTCCCTACTTATTAGGGTTTTTAATTTAATTTAAGTGTAAAGTTAAGGTTTTTTTATGTAATATCATTAAAAAAAAAGGATAAAATAAGTAAATCACATCAGAAAATAAAATAAAAAAGAGTTAAAAAAGGAGATGGCAAGGTCAACCGGCGGGTGGAACGAGCTGGGTATTTGGGTCGAGGTTAACAAGTTAATTGGGTTTGAACAGGACAACCTTCAAAACGGGACAATGTATGAACCGGGCCCGTTTTTATGCTCGCGTCCGATTGAACCGGTTCAACCGAATTAGGTCGGACCGAGTTTTAAAACCATGGCTAAAGCAATGTAACTAACATCTGAAAGGTAAGGGGATAGCTAGGTACTTACATATAGTTATTTAACCATCTTTTCTAGTTGATTCTATTTTTCAGGTTACTTTATACTTTAGATGATATATTTGTTGTAGTACAAGAGAATTATAGACTACTAAATTGCTTCTAAATGTGGGAAAGTTGTATTGTATTTGCTTTATCGATTTCTTTAATTTAATACAAGATGGTTATTTTCCTCAGAAAAAAAAGGGGGCTTTCAAGACTTATAAAATTTCAATATTAAGGTTTTGGTTTAAGGCCTAACTATTAGATAAATGAAACTTGGACCAATAAGATCACACCACGTGACCACACTCCAATACTCCAAAACCATAAATACCTGTCAACAACATCTTTATCTCACTCTACATTTACTACTCTAGCTCCTCTTTCTGAACTCTCTTTCACTATAGTTATATTGATTTAGGGTGTTTTTGGTAAACCCTTTAAGGAAACATTACTTTTTAGAGTTTTGTAAAGGTATTTTTTTTTTTTGAACATATTTTGCAAGGGCAGGTTTTGAACCCTGCCGGGGAGGGGGAATGCACCGTGGCTATGCCACTAGGCCTCAAGGGTCAGTGCTTTGTAAAGGTATTTGGGTATTTACCTGTTTTAAAATATAATAAATAGAAAGTAAACATAGAATTTTTAGTTTTTATTTTCACTATAACAATTCTTAACTCGTAAATTTTTTTTTATATTTTTTAAAGAAAAAAGTTCCACAACTTTTCCAATACTTAACATATGTTATTTTTACTAAATACAATAAAATTAATATCTCAATAAAATTTTGTTATAAAATTTAACAACTATTCATAAAATAACTCTTTAATTACTTTTTCAATAAAAAAATTCCTAAAAATATTTGTTTTTAACTTGACACACCCTAAGTATTATAATGTTTATCATGAGATCTATGGTTGTAGTTATGATTATCAATTCATTTATTAAGGTTATTAAAATTGTATTTAATTTTACTTATATTTATATTTTTTAAGTAAATAATTATTGATATTTAAAATTATTAATTTATAAATTAATTTTAAATTATTAAGTAATAAATTTTAATTTTTTATTTTTTTTTTTTTTTTTGCCCTCTTGTTTTACCAAGCTATACCCCATAATGGGGAAAAAATTGTTGTGAACATAAAGTGAAATAAAACTTACCTTATGCAAGCTCAAGTTGAGACAACTAAAAAAAATTAAGTATCATTTTTCGTTAAAATTAGCAAATTAATATTGTGCATGTCTACTTTGCATCTGTGTGTAATATCTCTTCATAGTATCATTCTTGTATTTTCCATTTGAATTTCATTTTAATTTGTTACATTTAGTTTTAGAATAAAACATTGATTTTTTTAAAATATATATTGTCATTTCGGTTTCACCATTTTGTTGAGCTCTTCTTGACATCCCGGTCATCATATGCAATCATATGCAGCTTCAAAACTTTTTAAATTATGAAGATCATATTTAAGAATTTAATTTCATCATTTGTAAGAGGATTAAGTAGTTTATACTTTTTAAAGAGAGAAATAATGTTTTTTTTAAAGGAAATATTTTTTTCATTTTTAATGAAAAGTTAAGATAATTAATTGTTATTATTATTTTTTATTTTTATTTT